CTATTTAATACGGTATTATAACATCAGGAATAATTTCACGATAGTTGTAGGGGCCTAACGTCTAAACTTACATAAAGAATTTTTCCAAAATTTCTGATCCCGAAATACCGTCCTTTTTGCGATATCTCCATTATTTACGGAGATACGAGCGTTTAAAGTTTTGCAAAATTTTTGAGCAAGAAATATATATTTTAGAGTGTAGCCATTGACTTGTGGATGTTACTAACAAAAGTAATACCTATTTAATACGGTATTATAACATCAGGAATAATTTCACGATAGTTGTAGGGGCCTAACGTCTAAACTTACATAAAGAATTTTTCCAAAATTTCTGATCCCGAAATACCGTCCTTTTTGCGATATCTCCATTATTTACGGAGATACGAGCGTTTAAAGTTTTGCAAAATTTTTGAGCAAGAAATATATATTTTAGAGTGTAGCCATTGACTTGTGGATGTTACTAACAAAAGTAATACCTATTTAATACGGTATTATAACATCAGGAATAATTTCACGATAGTTGTAGGGGCCTAACGTCTAAACTTACATAAAGAATTTTTCCAAAATTTCTGATCCCGAAATACCGTCCTTTTTGCGATATCTCCATTATTTACGGAGATACGAGCGTTTAAAGTTTTGCAAAATTTTTGAGCAAGAAATATATATTTTAGAGTGTAGCCATTGACTTGTGGATGTTACTAACAAAAGTAATACCTATTTAATACGGTATTATAACATCAGGAATAATTTCACGATAGTTGTAGGGGCCTAACGTCTAAACTTACATAAAGAATTTTTCCAAAATTTCTGATCCCGAAATACCGTCCTTTTTGCGATATCTCCATTATTTACGGAGATACGAGCGTTTAAAGTTTTGCAAAATTTTTGAGCAAGAGATATCTATTTCAGAGTGTAGCCATTGACTTGTGGGTGTTAATAATAGATGTAATACTTATTTAATACGGTATAATAACATCAGGAATATTTTCATGATAGTTGTAGGGGCCAAACATCCAAACTTGCAAAAATAATTTTTCCAAAATTTCTGATCCCGAATTACCGTCCTTTTTGCGATATCTTCATTATTTACGGAGATACGAGCGTTTAAAGTTTTGCAAAATTATTGAGCAAGAAATATCTATTTTAGTGTGTAGCCATTGACTTGTAAGTGTTAATAATAGAAGTAATACCTATTTAATACGGTATAATAACATCAGGAATAATTTCATGATAGTTGTAGGGGCCAAACATCCAAACTTGCCTAAAAAAATTTTTCCAAAATTTCTGATCCCGAAATACCGTCCTTTTTGCGATATCTCCATTATTTACGGAGATACGAGCGTTTAAAGTTTTGCAAAATTTTTGAGCAAGAAATATCTATTTTAGTGTGTAGCCATTGACTTGTAAGTGTTAATAATAGAAGTAATACCTATTTAATACGGTATAATAACATCAGGAATAATTTCATGATAGTTGTAGGGGCCAAACATCCAAACTTGCCTAAAAAAATTTTTCCAAAATTTCTGATCCCGAAATACCGTCCTTTTTGCGATATCTCCATTATTTACGGAGATACGAGCGTTTAAAGTTTTGCAAAATTTTTGAGCAAGAAATATCTATTTTAGTGTGTAGCCATTGACTTGTAAGTGTTAATAATAGAAGTAATACCTATTTAATACGGTATAATAACATCAGGAATAATTTCATGATAGTTGTAGGGGCCAAACATCCAAACTTGCCTAAAAAAATTTTTCCAAAATTTCTGATCCCGAAATACCGTCCTTTTTGCGATATCTCCATTATTTACGGAGATACGAGCGTTTAAAGTTTTGCAAAATTTTTGAGCAAGAAATATCTATTTTAGTGTGTAGCCATTGACTTGTAAGTGTTAATAATAGAAGTAATACCTATTTAATACGGTATAATAACATCAGGAATAATTTCATGATAGTTGTAGGGGCCAAACATCCAAACTTGCCTAAAAAAATTTTTCCAAAATTTCTGATCCCGAAATACCGTCCTTTTTGCGATATCTCCATTATTTACGGAGATACGAGCGTTTAAAGTTTTGCAAAATTTTTGAGCAAGAAATATCTATTTTAGTGTGTAGCCATTGACTTGTAAGTGTTAATAATAGAAGTAATACCTATTTAATACGGTATAATAACATCAGGAATAATTTCATGATAGTTGTAGGGGCCAAACATCCAAACTTGCCTAAAAAAATTTTTCCAAAATTTCTGATCCCGAAATACCGTCCTTTTTGCGATATCTCCATTATTTACGGAGATACGAGCGTTTAAAGTTTTGCAAAATTTTTGAGCAAGAAATATCTATTTTAGTGTGTAGCCATTGACTTGTAAGTGTTAATAATAGAAGTAATACCTATTTAATACGGTATAATAACATCAGGAATAATTTCATGATAGTTGTAGGGGCCAAACATCCAAACTTTCCTAAAAAAATTTTTCCAAAATTTCTGATCCCGAAATACCGTCCCTTTTGCGATATCTACATTATTTACGGAGATACGAGCGTTTAAAGTTTTGCAAAATTTTTGAGCAAGAAATATATATTTTAGAGTGTAGCCATTGACTTGTGGATGTTACTAACAAAAGTAATACCTATTTAATACGGTATTATAACATCAGGAATAATTTCATGATAGTTGTAGGGGCCTAACGTCTAAACTTACATAAAGAATTTTTCCAAAATTTCTGATCCCGAAATACCGTCCTTTTTGCGATATCTCCATTATTTACGGCGATACGAGCGTTTAAAGTTTTGCAAAATTTTTAAGCAAGAGATATCTATTTTAGAGTGTAGCTATTGACTTGTGGGTGTTAATAATAGAAGTAATACCTATTTGATAAGGTATAATAACATCAGGAATAATTTCACGATAGTTGTAGGGGCAAAACGTCCAAACTTACATAAAGAATTTTTCCAAAATTTCTGATCCCGAAATACCGTCCTTTATGCGATATCTCCATTATTTACGGAGATACGAGCGTTTTAAGTTTTGCAAAATTTTTGAGCGAGAAATATCTATTTTAGAGTGTAGCCATTGACTTGACATCCAAACTTTCCTAAAAAAATTTTTCCAAAATTTCTGATCCCGAAATACCGTCCCTTTTGCGATATCTACATTATTTACGGAGATACGAGCGTTTAAAGTTTTGCAAAATTTTTGAGCAAGAAATATATATTTTAGAGTGTAGCCATTGACTTGTGGATGTTACTAACAAAAGTAATACCTATTTAATACGGTATTATAACATCAGGAATAATTTCATGATAGTTGTAGGGGCCTAACGTCTAAACTTACATTAAGAATTTTTCCAAAATTTCTGATCCCGAAATACCGTCCTTTTTGCGATATCTCCATTATTTACGGAGATACGAGCGTTTAAAGTTTTGCAAAATTTTTGAGCAAGAAATATATACCTATTCAATACGGTATTATAACATCAGGAATAATTTCATGATAGTTGTAGGGGCCAAACATCCAAACTTGCAAAAAAAATTTTTTTTAAATTTCTGATCCCGAAATACCGTCCTTTTTGCGATATCTCCATTATTTACGGAGATACAAGCGTTTAAAGTTTTGCAAAATTTTTGAGCAAGAAACATCTATTTGAAAGTGTAGCCATTGACTTGTGGGTGTTAATAACTAAAGTAATACCTATTTTATACGGTATTATATCATCAGGAATAATTTCATGATAGTTGTAGGGGCCAAACATCCAAACTTGCCAAAAACAAAATGTACTAAAATTTCTGATCCTGAAATACCGTCCTTTTTGCGATATCTTCATTATTTACGGAGATACGAGCATTTAAAGTTTTGCAAAATTTTTGAGCAAGAAATATCGGTTGCAGAGTGTAGCCATTGATTTACAAATCAGGCGTCGAAACTGCCAACTGCGACAAGGAATTAGAACGAAGTGCATGTTTGTAGGCATTATTTCTCTGTTTCATAAGCTGAAGAATGTGTGTGGATACCCAGGATTCTTTAGCAGATTTAATTTTAATAAGTCGGAGGGGAGCAAGGGAATCGAAAACTGACAAAAGAGCCGTATACACCCGTACTTGGGTATAATGTATAATATACATGCACTTGCGCTTATCTCTCGAGTTTTGCGGAACGAAATTCAGCTCGCGTTACCAATAGCCCAACGGTACATTACATATGCAGGTTTAGCGTTGATATTATACAACAACCATTAATATCACAAAGGAAACAGACTTGCGGTGGCAAATCTTTTAATCTATCCCGGTACCCTTTTACACGTACACCAAGTGCACCCGTGCATGCTCATTTGAATAAAATAAAAAAAAAGACTCAAGCAACAAGAACATAAGCATATATTTAAATTGTGGCTATACGCAGCAATTGTCAAACGATTGGGATGGGGGATAACAAGAGTGAATTGCTCTGCAGTTGCGCTTCGGCAACTCGATCCGATTGATTTTATTGATTGGGACGAAAAAGGCCGAAGTCACGAGCGCGCAGCCACGGGCAGTCGAACACTTTCATACTGCGCGCAAGAGCGAGAACAAAAAAAAATCGAGGCCCTCCGAGATGTGGATGCACAGTTGGAATCCGATCGCGTGCGCGTAATCGCGGCGTTTCCTTGCGCCCCGGGCCGCCGAGCGGACGGCCCGTCAATTTCATTCAATTTTCCAAGCTGCTGCTGCTGACTTATCAAGTACCTGTATACACGTACCGCATAGGCACGGCGAGAGCAAGTGATCCGTGCCGATCGTCATTTTTCTCGGCTGCTCTTTTATTTGCATGCGAGATTGGGTGCAAAGAGCCGACCGTGTCGAGTCTGTTCTTTTATTTGCGTAAACTTGTATATAGGCTTGCCAGAGTGCCCAAGTGCTTCAAAAAAAAAAAAAATTTGCAATTTGATTACTCATTGTACTTTGAGAATTTACCCGTTTCGAGCCAATGTTCATACTGATCTTTTTTGTGTGTGTTTCCTGTGTTTCAGAGCGAATTCGAGCCCCAATGTCACGTGTTTCGAACGAAGCGCCTGCGGAAGCCGAGGCCGTGCCAGCTGTGCCATCAGGCGGTGATAAAGCAGGCATCCTGCTGTCGAGGTGAGCTCGATCTCTTCACTTAATAAATCAGCTGTTGATGATTGCGCGCAAGAGCGCCGGTAAAGCAGGCATCTCGCGAGACTTGCTCGGGTAAACTCAAAGCCGCGTTTTTCGATGCACGTCAATGACACATTGTTACCTATAGGGAGGGGGCATTTTTATTTGTTTTAAAACTTTATTTTTATTTATTTTTTTTTTTTTCTCTAATTAACACGATTATTTTTAAATTAACGAGATCTTGTTTTTTCTCTTTAGTTTGCAAATACACCTGCCACAAGGCCTGTGAGGATAAGGTGAGTGGCTTTTTTCATCCCTCAGTTTTTCCTTAATCATTGTACAGTATGACACTTAAAACTAGTGCTTGCATTGGTGGTTTGGATAAGAAAAAATTTGGTCAGACCGAAAAAAAAATGTTGGTCCCAAAACCCGTCAACTAATGGAAGCGCTGTTCAATGCACCAAGTCGACAATCTGTCCGCCTTTTGCTTACTCACTTTCCAGGAGACTGTGACTTTAAACATTGCGTACTCCGACCTAAGCATGCAATGATATACAAGTAGTATAAATTCTCCACGATATTTTCTTCCCACGACACTTGAGCCACTGTGTATATTTACTTACATACTGATTTTTTGTATAACGTTTCGAAACATCTGTTTGACATTTTTAGGATTATAGGCATGATTCAAACTATAAAATGTATTTACATACGAGTATACATCATTTTAGACGTATCAGTTGCATTTCTGAAACAATTTATTTTCAACTCATTACTCAAATTTTTTAATTTAAATAGCTTATAATTTATTCAATTTTTGTTTCGCGCACAATCACATGCCTGAATTTTAATTTAAAAGAAATCCAAGTAAAATAATTGTGTTATTGTCAACAAAAATACATTTTGCAAATTTATAAAAAAAAAACTAGTTTTACATTTACGATATTTTTTTGCTTTAATAAAAACAAACCTTATACTTGATGCTCTTCTTCATGGGCAACTTGTAGAAGTTAGCGAGGCACTTACTAGTAAAGCACAAAAATCATTAATAGTATCTACATAGAAAAAAAAATGGTTTGAGATGAATTAATAATATCGTCTTCGTCGTTTCAAGATTTTTTCTATAGACTTTCATAAAACATTTTAAAAATCACTTGAGCACATAATACGTCGTTTTTCACGGAGGAAAGCACCAACGTACAAAGTCAAACTGAACTCTAGAAAAAAAAAAAAAAAAACGGTTAAACAGGAGATTTTCAAGTGAAGAGCAAACAGACTACTACCTCGAAAAACTAAGATAACTAAAGAGTTATAATGCGCTCTTTTTGGTGTATTATTGAGTAGTAGTAAGTACCTACTACATCAATCATTCGACAATTGTGGAAACGCGACAAGTATCCGTAGTACATTTTTTATCCCTTTTTTTGTTACTTCATCCTAATTTAGTTCGTATGCCTCTTTTGAAATGTACCCAAACACCTCATAAGTAGGTATCCACTATACTATTCGGAAACATAAAAAATGACATGTTCACGCATAATAGTGCAAGACGTGGACGAAAAAAATACCATTTACTCTAGTTGTACAGTTTCAAGAGAAATTCAAAGCTCACTCTCCATTCAAAGACCAAACAAAATGAAAGAAAAAGAATTCTTAAGCTGCTGTCCAGGAGAAAAATGTTAAGGTGTGTGTAAAGTGCTTATTCTCCTCGGTGGCAGCCAATCAAGAGACTTGCCTACTTATATGTTCGTACCCTGAATGATCTATGCGAGTCAGGATTGCTGATCTGAATAATTGTTTATTCATACGATTTTCGGACACGGTGGGTTAAATGCGAGGACGGATCGTGCCCGAGAAGAGCAAGCGTTTGCAACGAGGTCACGTAGTGGGAAAAAAAAAAAAAAAAAAAAAAAACAATAATCATGCAAATTAGTTATATAGGATGAATCCTGAGGGTTTGCAAGCTTAAACTTTTTGGCAGGAAAAAATATCGAAAGTAGGTAATACACGGTTCAAGAAAGTTTTCTCAGCTGTGACCTCAATACCGAAAACTTTGGCCTCGCCATTTCTCACGCCACGTACACTCGGCATCGGGCTTCACTTGGTACTTGTACCACATTATTAGAATTACCAATTACAAGTTGTCGATTTCGTAAAATCTTGAGAAAAATTCAAATGAGACTCCATACACCGATGACGTGTACCTATACATTTACAATCATTTTAGCAGATGCGAAGAGAGAGCCACGAGTCACTTTCGGTTGGTCTTATCAAAGTTTAAAAATAATTGCAACGAAAGCGCTCACGGCACGCAAGCGTATGCACGAGTGTGATATGGATGCGCTCGTGCGCTAAAGTCATTTCGACGCGTGTGCTAGAGCTCGGGTAACGTTTTGCGATTTTACCATTCCCACAGCAAGACTCTGGGTGATCAATTCCGAGTTGGTATTTTTATCCCTGATGCATAACTAGGTTGTATAGGTACTTCCAAACCTGCAGGTTACCGTTTTCATCAGATGTCATATTTTATTTCACATTCCTCCCTCAGCCAAGAAAAAGAGTAGTTACAGAGCTCTTGGCCACCTCAACTAATTTAAATGATATTTAAGTTGTTTTTGTCAACCAATTTCGGCGACATTTTCATTATAATCAAAAATACCAATATATCTTAACATTTATACCATACGCATGATTATAGTCTCTTTTTTTTCTTACACATGAGCTACATATTGTATGCGGCCAATAGAGTATTGTCACGAGACTGACATGAATCACCGATTCACAACACATTGCGTGTATTGATGGGAAACAACAGCTCTTTCTCCTTAAACCGATAAAATAAACCCCAATTTAATTATACCTCCCTGCAGAGAATATACTCTGCTATATTTATTGTAAAATGTAACTTGATGTATAAGGCAGGTCCTCTTCAGTTGGGCAAGTTTCAAATTGTAGATACATATAGTACACGTATCGGTATGTTGCAAAAAGAGCAAAGAGCCGTGATATCATCTGGTGTATAACATTGAAAACCAAAAATTCCGTTCGAGAGAGCACTCGCGTACATTTGACACGTTTGGCCTGGACGAGTAAGTTTCGTCGCGAAGATTAGCGAACGGAGGGCAGAGAAGTAGAGAGGGTGCATATAATATAAGGACACACACATAAAGGCTGGAAAGGGGGTCGGGCGGAGGAGGATAGAAGATACGCGCAAAAAGCAGCGATTACAAGCCGTCGAGGCATTAGAATAATAGCAATCTCAGGCATGAGCTCGCGCCCGAGAGCATGTGTATATATATATAGGGTATATCGCGTCAGGGCAATCTACTCGTAAGAATGCAGAGCCATGCACACCGGCGGTAAAGCTTCTCTCGCGGTATAACCGCGTACCCACGGCCAACGGACTCACGTGCGGTACGGCATTACACGGAGCATGTGTTTGCTCGTACATATATTATATACATACGCGGCTCGTGTCGTCGCGGATGCCACGAGGTACAAGCAACCACCACGAGCAAAGAGGGAGGAGGCGGGCGGTGGCGAGCCGCGAACGGTAGCGGCGTATATATTATATGCCCGATTCCCGATAATAAAGGAGCACGAGGAAGGGAGAGAGATACTAGTTTCTCCGGCCTAAGGTGGATCGACCGTTATTACAGGGGCGCTGTCGCCGGAGCCGAGAGGGACCCCCCCGCGCCGCCGCGGCGTGATCTATAGTGGAACGTGAGAGCCGGGCCCGGTGTGTATATACGTGCGCCGTATCGAGGATCCTGGTGGGCCCGTTGTCGCGGGAGAACCACCGTACCATCGGACTTTTATTAAAATCAGGGTTTCGCCCACCCCCTCTTATATACATCTATGCACATCATCATTGGCGTTCGTATATTTTTCATTTACGTCACTTGTGTGCGTCGGGGTCCTCCGTAAAACATCATCCCTCGTTAAATCCCGCGACGAAACACATTTTATTAAAACTTGGCTTCCAACTGCAGTACATTTATGCACAAATACAATTTTTGGCCTCTTCAAAAAGTGGTGAAATAACACGTAAAGTCTTGTTTAGCGTAAATGAAATGTAACGCCAGCGTGTGCAACCCCAACTTTGGCAAGTTTGACGTCTGCGTTTGTACACACGGTATACATAGCTGGTGGTGGTGAACACCCAACGATGTGTTCGTCCCGTCCGTGGTGGCGTCATTATGCGCATAAATTTAAAGCGGTCTGTAGCAGCGAAAGGCTCGGTATATGGGGAGAGAGAACCACCCTCAAAGAGCCATCACCGGGAGGGATAAGAGGAAGTCGTGCCTATATATGTACCGTGTAAAAGACGAGAGGAGAGCCCCCTCCGGTGGCCTGGGCCTTTCGGCTTGTGCATAATATGTGTATACATTGACGGCGAAACGACGTCGCCGCGCTTTTGAAGGAGCGAAGGAGAGCGAGGCCGTGGAATGGTTTCTTGGCGTGCCATCGGTATCGAGGTATCTCTCGCTGCAGGCAGCGCGATCGGGAGCTCCGGTCGTATACAAGTTGTCCCAGGTAGGCCCGAGTTTGCCTACGTATAACACGTGTGTGTGTGTAAACGAGCGAGAGAAACTTACAGGCGCGGTGACACGTCGTTATGTTTGCGATTGTAGGTATATACGTGTGTATGGTCATGCGGTTGGATATATTTATGCCGAGAGCTAAAACAGCGGCAGTACTTACCCATACTAGGGATCAAGAAGGAGGAGTCCATGGACCGACTATTATATACATAACCCTGGACTCGTAAAACAAAATCGGCCTCTATACTCTCTTTTTCTTGTATATACCGGTATCCATCCAGCTGCTGATGGGCAATATAAATAGAGGTACGGGGTTGATCGAGGCATATTTAGCGATAGCCTGGGCATAGTGCCATTTTACAGTACAACGGCTAATTTTAAACGTCACTATACGCCTACCTGCTCTTACATCTGGTTCAATAAACTCGCGCGCGTGTGTCTGTGTGTGGATAAGCAATGTATATCTATACGTACGCGATAGAAGCCGTATAGGACTCGCTCTGTTATCATCATCATCTTGCATGATAATGCGACGCCATGGTGGACCACACGCAGTCCCCCGTCATAATTGTACTATTTACGCGACGACAAGAATCTCGGTTGCTCGAGGAACACGCAATACCTTATACCTCTATAGGTACGTACTTGTTTCGCTGTCCCATTATACGGCTCCACGGCTCCTACAGTATATGGACCACGTGTGTGTATATATAAATGAGCCCCTAGTACGTGATGTATGACTTTAGATTCGG